GATCTAACATGTAGCAGATATAGGATATGGTAGAATAAGTATGTGGCATTTTCTGTAGCCTAAAGGCTGGAGATAAAATGTATGACAATGTAATGAGACAGACACTTTTTACATCATGCAGGTTTCTCCGATCAAATAGTCTAACCTAAATGGCGAACCATTAAATAAAAAATGAGCTGTCATGTTAACAAACAACATATCCTAAAAACAGGACAGGTCAAAGTAAAATGGACAATATGGAATGGGCAATCACAACTGTTGTCCAGGAGTTTCACCCCATTGTCATGATCAGTGAATACTTATGCATTTCCCGCTGTGTAAACACATTGCAAATAGGCTCGCAATAACTCCTGATAAAGTTGGGTAGCTGATATTCAGAGCTTAAATAGCCAAATTGATTAGTCACAGGAATCAGGACTAATAAAGACCAATGCAATAGCCTGTTTTACAAACGGTAGGCCTACCACATAGATGGGCATTCATAAAATGCAATTTCAGGCAACACTGTAGGCTACATCTCAATAAGCATGGACCATTGTCTTTTTTTGGTGCATTTCTGGACCGGCCTTGATTTCCACATCCACGGACATTGGTTTTTGGTCCGATCCAGACCAAATCTGAACCAATCATAGAAGTCTATGTTTGGTTCAGATTTTTCCCGGTCTGGACCAGCCTTGATTTGGCCTAAACATAGAAGTCTATAAATTACATATTTTCAACTTTCAGAACCAAAAATGAGCCTGATTTCAACATCTGGAAAATGCATATTTTCAACGTCTGTAAAATACGTATTTTCAACATCAGGAAAATAAGTATTTTCAACTTTCCTTCAGAACAAAAAAATCACCTGATTTCAACGGAAAATACGTATTTTTCAAAGTCCGGAAAAGATGCCTTTTCAACGGCCTGGAAAACACCTTTTCACCTTTCATTCAGAACTGAAATTGAACCTAACTTCAAGGTCTGTAAAATACACATTTTAGACGTATTTTCAACGCCATTTTGCTTACTGGGACTATTCTAGTTTTGCGGGGGTGGCATTTTTTGGTCTCGCCTATGGCGGCAGAACGGCAAGGACCGGCCCTATACACACCCCTTCGCTGGTCTGTGTCTCCCCCAGGTGTGGCGTTAAACCCGGAACAGTGGAACCAGCTGAAGGAGATCCTCCCAGACCTTGACACTATGATCCCGAAGATCTAGAACAACCACGGTGCCCAGCGAGCAGCCAAGACAGCCCAGATCAATTCCCCTCTACACCAACGAGCCCGTTGTCACTGACAGACAGTACATCACTTTATTTAATCCACTGTTAAACGGCTTTAACTAGTATCCATCCTGCAGATATGTTCAATTAAAGCTCTTTGTTTTACATACCTCACTTTACAAAATAGCTGTCTGTTCTGTGTTTTAATTCTGTAGTGTTTTATTTATTAATTGGCTTTATAAGCCATGGCTTTAGTTGCAGAGAACAGATGTATTTTCTGTGTACATTTTCTTGACAGCATTTGTAAATATAGAGTTAATGAAGCCTATATGAAGTTAGTCGGGGTCGTTTTTTGTTAAATTGTAATATGATAGCCTACACTATCCTTTCATCTTTGGAAATGCATATGTTTCTTGAAGTAATACACAGACTGAAAAACTTTTCTCCATTATTACTTTACTCATTTTATCCCATAATCTGTTGAGTAATCAGCTGCATGGATTATGATCTGATCATGGGTTTTAATGGGAAAGAGCTGCTTTGGTGGTTCAGAAATATATCCCACCAATTACCAGACTGTAGACAACAGTGGGAGCTGGTGGGAGGATCTATAGGAGGACGGGCTCATTGTAATGGCTGGAATGGAATTAATGGAACGGTATCAAACATATGAAAACGATGTTTGACTGTCTTCCATTTATTCCATTCCAGCCATTACAATGAGCCTGTCCTCCTATAGCTCCTTCCGCCAGCCTCCACTGGTAGACAGTGTAATGTTCATTGTTACATGCTGTTTGACACTGTAGTTAACTGATGCCTCCTCTTATATTCCAGAAGAGGGAGCAAGACGTCAATGGATTGATCACTGCAACTAACAATGCAAGACCATCAAGACAATTAGCAGGTAATGGGGCAAAATAAATTGTACAATACAGTGCTCCACTGGTGTCAGAGTGGGATGAAACTACAGAGAGGCCATCAAAGGCATGCCTGGCTGTGAGGGACTTGAGATAGAGAAGCGCAGTGGCCTGTTTTCTGGAAGAATGGGGTAGTTTAGCGAAAGAAGGAGGTAGATTCAAGTCCCTAAAGGACTATCGCCCAAATTCTCTACATTAAATAGGGAATATGGTGGGGCCTCCTGTATTGATGGCTGTATGATTCCCGTTTGTATTATTACTCGACATTCCACCATGACATTGATTTAAATGTACTGCCTCCCCCCCAAAAAATAGTTTTAAAAGTAGAATTTATCCGTGGCCGGTGGCCCGAAGCTTCTCCAAGTAGGTGTTGGGCAATGCAAAGAATTTGCACTCCGATGTTGCAGTATCATACCGACGTCTGTGGGTGTCGCTCAAGAGCGGTGAATATGTCTCAAGAGCGGTGAATATGGGTCTCGCTTTCGCTCAGTCGTTCTCCCACCTTCTCTCTTGTACTATGTGTGTGCGAATGTGTGTCGGATTACTGTTCTCCTGGCAGCAGGATATTATGCCGGCAGCTCGATCTTGGATATCTTTTTTCAAAATAAGAGTCGCCTTACAAAGACACGCTAATCTTTGCGAATATCGATTTTTTCTCATCAATCTGCACACAATACCCCACAATGACAAAGAAAAAATAATAATAATACGGAAGTATCACATTTACATAAGTATTCAGACCCTGTACTCAGTTCTTTGTTGAAGCACCTTTGGCAGCGATTACAGGCTTGAGTCTTCTTGTATATGACACTACAAGCCTGGCACACCTGTATTTGGGGAGTTTCTCCCATTCTTCTCTGCAGATCCTCTCAAGCTCTGTCAGGTTGGATGGGAAGTGTTGCTGCATAGCTATTTTCAGGTCTCTCCAGAGATGTTCGATCGGGTTCAAGTCCGGGCTCTGGCTGGGCCACTGAAGGACATTCAGAGACTCGTCCTGAAGCCACAAGCCACTCCTGCGTTGTCTTGGCTGTGTGCTTAGGGTCGTTGACCTGTTGGAAAGTCAACCTTCGCCCCAGTCTGAGGTCCTGAGCGCTCTGGGGCAGGTTTTCATCATGGATCTCTCTGTACTTTGCTCCGTTCATCTTTGCCTCCATCCTGACTAGTCTCCCAGTCCCTGCAGCTGAACAACATCCCCAAAGCATTATGCTGACACCACCATGCTACACCATAAGGGATGGTGCCAGGTTTCCTCCAGAAGTGACGCTTGGCATTCAGGCCAAAGTGTTCAATCTTGCTCATGGTCTGAGAGTCTTTAGGTGCCTTTTGGCAAACTCAAAGCGGGCTGTCATGTGCCTTTTACTGAGGAGTGGCTTCCATCTGGCCACTCTACCATAAAGGCCTGATTGGTGGAGCGCTACAGAGATGGTTGTCCTTCTGGAAGGTTCTCCCATCTCCACAGAGGAACTCTAGAGCTCTGTCAGGGTGACCATTGGGTTCTTGGTCACCTCCCTGACCAAGGCCCTTCTCCCCCGATTGCTCAGTTTGTCCGGGAGGCCAGCTGTAGGAAGAGTCTTGGTGGTTCCAAACTTCTTCCATTTAAGAATGATGGAGGCCACTGTGCAGAAATGTTTTGGTACCCTTCCCCAGATCTGTTCCTCTACAAAATCATGTCTCGGAGCTCTATGGACAATTCCTTCGACCTCATGGCTTGGTTTTTGCTCTGACATGCACTGTCAACTGTGGGACCTTATATAGACAGGTGTGTGCCTTTCCAAATCATGTCCAATCAATTGAATTGACCACAGGTGGACTCCAATCAAGTTGTAGAAACATCTCAAGGATGATCAATGGAAACAGGATGCACCTGAGCTCAATTTTGAGTCTCATAGCAAAGGGTCTGAATACTAATGTAAAAAAGGTATTTCTGTTTTTTTTTATTTTTTTAAATAAAATGTCTAAAAACCTGTTTTCACTTTGTCATTATGGGGTATTGTGTGTAGATTGCTAAGAATATATGTATATTTTTTTGAATAAGGCTGTAACACAACAAAATGTGGAAAACGTCAAGGGGTCTGAATACTTTCCGAAGGCAATGTATGTATATATATATATATATATATATATATATATATATATATATATATATATATATATATATATATATATATATAAACGACTATGTGCCAAAGTAAAAGTGGGGTTGGGAGTACTCAGTAGGGTCTGTAGAATCTATATATGGTATTTTTTCATGGGACACTGAATAATATGGGGTGTTGCTGGCCTTTTACTCTGCCCATTACATTGGCCACTTGCAAAAGACGCAGGGTGCATTAACACAATTTGTTGCTTCAGTTGTAACTTCAAAATTATAATGGAATGGTTGTAGTAAAAGGCCAGCAACACTCCGTATTATTCAGTGCCCCATGAAATTACACCATATATAGATTATTCAGACCCTACTGAGTACTCCCAACCCCACTTTTGCATCTGCACAAATAATATTTTTTTCACTATAAGCCCAATATTGTCAACATACCAGTCTGAACATTGTATTTTTCAATAGTGGTCTTAAAATAATGTTTTAAAAAACATATACAAAATGTTTCCCATAAATTCCTTCTTGCGTTTGGTTATAAGAACAATAAAAATTGACATTGATTAAAATGTTATATATTTTGAATGAGTTTTGCAATGTTTTGAAATGCGGGCGTTTATTTTGAAGGTTTCCTCATTATCATAGGAAAGTGATGTCATCGTTAGTGCTGCTATCTGAAGAGTATTGTGTGTCGGATAGAAAGTGAGCCTGTTTTCAGCTGAGTGCTTGCTCTCTCTCAGTGCGTGTGTGTTGACATTATTATCTAGTGTGCTCCCAGCTCAGAATGGCCAGATTCACTCAGACTGAAACAAGAAGGCAGCAGCAATCACAGCAGCCCCATCCCGCTCACACAAGCCTAGTTTTCACTGGACCTGGGGTACCACCGACCGAACAACAACTACTACTTATCCCTCACCAGCACCAGTACTCTCAGATCACATTTGCTAAACCCATGAACGGGTCAGAATCCATTTCCATTCATCCGGAGAGCGGCAATATGAAAGACCAAGATGCCATAAAGCTGTTTGTCGGGCAGATACCGCGGAACTTAGAGGAAAAGGACCTGAATCCTCTGTTTGAACAGTTCGGAAAAATCCACGAACTGACTGTTCTAAAGGACCGATACACCGGCATGCACAAAGGTAACGTGATAACCTAGGCTATTGTAATCATCGTTACGAATGCTCGTGGTCTCATGTTCCCACATTTTATAACGTGGCAATGGGCATGCACATAGGGGGATTTCATAGTTGTAGTGGTCATAGGGAGATTTCATAGTTGTAGGGAGATTTCATAGTTGTAGTGGTCTCGCGCTGATTTATAGCTTACATTATTGGTTTCACGCATACACATCCAAACGATTTGAGTGTTTACAAATTTCAAACGTGTTAATATTTAATAGAAAGTATCCAATGTAATTGTATTTTCATAACGCTCTCTCAGAACTGGGGCAGAGGCGCTTAAAAGGGATACATTCTTAAAGCGCCTCCCCTTGACTGTCCCATCTTTTAGGTAGGGGCAGCATCCTTTATTTATCCATATGCTTTCTGTAACATCACACCATGTGCTGCTCAAGTATCCAGAGGCGGATGAACTTGTGGATACCATTTTTATGTATTTGCATCCAGTATGAAGGAAGTTAGAGGTTGTTTTGCTAGGGTTAGCACAATGACTGTAAGTCTACAGGAACAGCTAGCATTCATTGCGCTAACGCAAGTTAGCAATTGCGCTAATGCTAGTTAGCAACTTCCTTCAAACTGCATTGCCAAAATCCCAAACTATCCCTTTAAAGATGCACTATGCAGAAACCTCTCCACCATTTCATGGTTGCAAAAATTCTAATTGTTTGCCCTATTTCAGTTTATGTGACAAAACAAGCAAGTATAGTGTAGACAATCATTGTACCATCTAAACCGCTGTGAAATGTATTTTCCATAACCAAAAATATTGTATTTTCAGCTGTTGAAGCTGGTGTATAAACCCGAAAGTAAAAGACACAAAAACAAAACTTTAAGAAGGGGAAGCATAGAAATAGTGCATATAGAACAGATCTACCGCTTCTTAGACTTGCTTTCAATGACAGTGACAGATCTATAACACACATTTCTATGTGAATTTGGTCTTGTCGCCCCAAAAGTTACATATTGCAGCTTTAAGATTCGATGTTTGTTTTCTAATGCAGTCGGGGAAGTCATGGAAGCCATTTAACTTCAGATTGGAGATTATTTAACTTCAGCTTGGAGGTATATTAGGTTATGATATTGAACGACGTTGCCCTATTCATCATCGTCAGTGTAAGGGAATCGTCCATCATCATCATCTTCATCATCCTCATCATCATCTTCATGGAAACTGTAGCCACCAATAACTAAGGCTTCTTGATATTACTGTATTACAGAGGATCATTAAGCCTACATAGCCTACTTCCTTGTATTTAGTGTAAAACCAAAATGCACACTTCCCCAATGCCATCCAGACACCAAGATCTAAAAACACTCATTACAATGACACAATTGTGATTAATGATCAAATATAATAAGTTATAATTCCATCCAAGTAAATTCAAATATGCACCATGTTAGTTGAAAGATGATATTTCCATCAATGGGAATTGGGCCCCCGTCGCTGTCCATGGTCCTGACAGCCCAAATGCATTGAGCAGGAAAGGATATGGCAGAATCGGTTGACTTGTGACCAAATTAAAGGTCTGAGATAAAGGCTTTCCCTGTTTAGCAGGTGAATGTCTATGTGACGTTAAGAAATATACACATCACAGGTCATCTTTTAAATGGCACTTTTGACAGACGCTCTTATCCAAAGCAATTAGGGTTAAGTGCCTTGCTCAAGGGCACATTTTTTACCTAGTCAGCTCAGGGATTCAAACCAACAACCTTTAGGAGTATTTCTCAACCTCACACACTAGACAGTAGTTGTGTGTAAATAATAAAACGTTATTGCACTGCATTGTATAATGATTGCAGTACTTGGTTCTCAACAAACTTTTGTGTTATAATTGAAGTCAGGCCTTGAATGGTGGCATGTTTATGGAATATATGAGCAGAATTTCTTGAATTGTCTTGAATTGTACATTGACAAAACTCGTAACGACAACAGCTAGTCACAAGTCAACCGATTCTGCCATATCCTTTCCTGCTCAATGCATTTGGGCTGTCAGGACCATGGACAGCGACGGGGGCCCAATTCCCATTGATGGAAATATCATCTTTCAACTAACATGGTGCATATTTGAATTTACTTGGATGGAATTATAACTTATTATATTTTATAATTAATCACAATTGTGTCATTGTAATGAGTGTTTTTAGATCTTGGTGTCTGGATGGCATTGGGGAAGTGTGCATTTTGGGGCGGCAGGTAGCTTAGTGGTTAAGAGCGTTGTGCCAGTAACCGAAAGGTCTCTGGTTCTAATCCCCGAGCTGACTAGGTGAAAAATCTGTCGATGTGCCCTTGAGCAAGGCACTTAACCCTAATTGTTCCTGTAAGTCGCTCTGGATAAGAGCGTCTGCTAAATGACTAAAAATGTAAAAATGTAAATGTAGTTTACAATGTACAGGTTCTAGCTCTTTAATTTGAATATGATTAGCTTAATCAATTTGTCACATTTTATCATAACATTTTACAAAGTTACTGTAAATTAAAACAAGTTCCTGAAAGTGTTCTATGTAAGAGCTTTCAATAACAAGTATTTTTTGCATTTATTCCTAGTACTGTGGGTTTTTGCCTTCGGGGCTGAAGTACATACCCCTGTTAACTTTATGCCTTTGTTATTTTATCGTAAGGAAGTCGCATAGGCATTTTGCCTCAAACTAATTAGTGAATGAATATTACTAAAGGTAAAACATTGCCATTTCTGTGGATTTTTTGGAAGTTAGATATGAAAATATTGTACAACCAAGGATTACTCTTGTTAGTCAACACTTACTTTTTCAAATATGACAAGCATCGTCTCTGCTATTATGTGATAATAAAATCTAATTTAATTACCTATCTCATCAACTAATTTAATAGATTAGGTGACTTGTTCTCCAAACATTAATACAAATGATTAGTACTCAGATTCAAGTAAATAATTTTAGAGGTCAGACCCAAAATATTAATGTCAGAGTCAATTTATATTCTTATTCATTAATGTCAAATAGCCAGGGTTTAGTTGAATGAGTTTATTTGGAATGTAATAAATCCTGGCCACACAATTTCCAGTAAGAAATCATCCTAGTACTAGTCCTCTGCACTTCACTGGTTATTCTATTGTCTAAGCTTTATAAACCAAAAAGGATTATGAATGTCATCTAATAGTATAATTATTCCTCAAAATTACACACGTGCACACACACACGTGCACACACACACACACACACACACACACACACACACACACACACACACACACACACACACACACACACACACACACACACACACACACACTTTCCAGAGAAGCAAAATTGTGTTCATTGAACCAAAAAAGGTCCTTACATATACTGAGTAGTTGTTGTGTGTCATATTGTGTCATTTTGATTTACATTATATTTGTAGTCTGTTGTTTTCCTCCCTCCCTTCCCTTCGACCGATTCTTTCTGGTAATCCATCAGGGAAAACAAGGAATTTGTTTGTGAAGCGTGATAATAATGCGTGGCTATAATAACTTGACTCGAGAGGATTAGCAAATGTGCATTGTCTGAAGCTTCAGCCTCTCGGGTGATCAACTGCTAGTCTCCCTAAACAGTGGCTGCCTTTGCCAATTAAACATGCAGTCTAGTCTCGCTCTTCAAATGATTTATTCTGCCTGCACTGTCGATGGCCTGCCATTTATTGTCGTCCAATTGGTATTAATAGGTAGACTATTTCCTGATGTTGGATTTATCACTCACAGTGAAAACTTCTCCCGTTGGTTTTAATTAGGCTCCACTCACACAACAGGCTTTCAGTTTAATATTAGTTTTTCTCTGTGTGTGTGAAGGCTACCTGGAGGTTGCAATTTTATTTTTCTTGATTTAGGTGTGCTGGCAGTTTAATGATTTGCGGACTCGCACAAGAAAAGCATCCAAAGCCTTTTTGAATGTATTTTTCTGTGTTTTTCTGTGGCTAGTTAGAAGGTTATTGTTGCATAGGGGTGTCAATCTTTGCAAATTTGATTTTGAATACAGATACAGGTTTAGCTGTGAGGACTGAAACACACACATTTGATGAGAGGAGGAGGATGGGTGGCAGGAGTGATTCAGCATACTGGACAGGCAATACAAACACGTCTGCTCCCATCTGCCTGCTGAGTATCAATATTAAGCTAGTGTCGGGAGGATCATTGTGTTAATGCATTTATAAATGGACCAAAGATATTGCCGTAGACTCTAGCTAGTCAGAAGCACATTAAATCATAGGAATAATCTAATAAAATATTTATTAAAGTTACATTCTTTCTTCCCCACTCTGATGGATGGGCTCCACAGTGGGGGTAGTAGCCCAGCAATAAAGGAGAGATGGAGGGAGGCAGATCCAAGCTACACAGTTCTGTAAGAGCATATAGGCCCACCCAAATCAAATGCAATTAAAAAGAGACAAGACCAGTATCCCCACAGAGATGATGTAACTGTACCAGAGTGTTGACAAAACTAATCTAGTAATCTTTCCAAACCTCGCTAATGTGATTTAAAGGGATGCCCCTCTCCTCCATATTGAAGATACTCATATGGAAAGAGCTAAGGATCACAGTGCTGCGCCAAGGTATGACAGGAACCCCTCTGGGAAAACAGATGGGAGCAAATTTACTTACAGGTAACTGCCAAAATGAAGGAAACACTTGAGTAAATGAGGAATACAAAGTAAATTGAAAGCAGGTGCTTCCACACCGGTGTAGTTCCTTAATTAAGCAATGAACATCCCATCATGCTTAGTGTCATGTATAAAAATGCTGGGCAGGCCCAGTTGCCCATTGTTTTTGGCTACCATGGCTATGCCACAGCACGGAAACTGCTTTATTGAAATTCAGTAAAGACCTTCTGTTGGCTGCCGGTGAATGCTCTATTCTAGTTCTTTGGGATCTCAGTGCCGGGTTTAATGCTATTGATCATAACATCCTTGCTGACCGTCTGGAGAAGTGGGTGGGAATCTCCGGCGTTTCCCTCGACTGGTTCAGGTCAT